TTTCTTAAAAGAGGATCCTCTAAGAAGTTTCATATTTCATCTTTTATAATTTGCCTTGTAAAGTATGTCTTTACAAAGTCACCAAAATGAATTTTGGGTAAAATGTATTTTGCAATCAGGACTAAGTTAAGTTTTTCTGATATGAACATCTTTATACACATGATACTCAATACAAAACTGTGAAAATAAAATATGTCAATTTTAGAGACTGCCTCTCTGCCACTAGAAACTTCATATGAAGTGGAACTACATTTACTCTTTAATGAAAGTTCCATATTTCCATACTGTTCAACAACATTTGTTGCTAAATTTATATTTATCTGTTTTCCGTTAAGTAGATGTGAATAGACATAAATAAAGAAATCTTAATGATATTTTGCAGCCTTAGAAGACTCAATAGTGATTCTGGAGGAGGTGGAGGGAACGAGACCTTTGGCTGGTGGAACAGGCATTGAACTCGAGGTGTTGTATGATGGCCAAGCAGAAGAAGTGCAGCATGTGGTAAGTCTTTGTGCATTTTGAGTAGTTTAGCTTTTACCTTTGTGAGAATATTTTGAATATGAAAAATGCAAAATTTGTTCTTGAGAAGGAAAAGTAACTTTTTTATTATCATTTTTAGTATTATGTGTAATTTTCCAGTGTATCTTGCTGAGCATTTAACTCATTTCACCCCCCATTGATCTTTATCTGACTCAGTTATTAGGCCTACCAGACATCATCCGTTTTTCTGACTCCTTGAATCTTCAGTGAAAAAAAAATCTTTATGATGTTGTAATTGTAATTAATGTAATCTTTTTTTTTATTTTAGTGATGTCAAAAAAAGTAACAGTAGTAGTAAAATTAAAGCATTTTTCCAAATATTCAAGAAATAGGGTAAATAGCTTAGGTCAAGTAGACCTAGCAATTGATTCCATGGCAACAGCATGTATGAAGCAAACTGTGTAAAAGAAAAAATATCACTTAAAGATATACATTTCTGATGCTTATAGAGGAATAGGCCCATACTGTAAAAGGCTTTCATTATCTATCAGAAAATAATATGCCATAAAACAAGTGACCTTTCTCTTGTATTTTTGCTACCCATATTATGCTAATGATTTTATTAAATTGCACTTATCAAGGCCAAATATATATGTGTTTCTATCTTCTTTATCTGTAACATCTTGTCTTATTCTTGTATGTATGGATTTTGTTTTACATTACAACAGCCTCAGCCCCAGCCACCTCAGCAGCAATCAAAAGCACAGCCATCCCGTCCTCCACTCCGGCAGCAGCCACAAAGACAGCGACGGCCAGTGCAACAGTACCAGCAGCAACAACAAGAACAGCAGCAGCAAGCAGCTCAGCAAAGACTTCAGCGACAGCAGCAGCGGCAACAGCAGCAGAGACAGCAGCAGCAACAGAGAGCTCAGCAACGGCAGGCTCAGCAGCAGCAGCAGAAGCAACAGCAACAACAGCAGCAACAGCAGCAAGCACAACAAAGAGGAGTGAAGCGGAAGGACAGTGAGGTTCAAGTTGTGGGCCAAACAAAGGCTCAGAAAACAGGTCGAGGGGAGGTTGGAGGAGCTGGTACTCTCAAGTACAGGAAAAGGGTGAGACACTAAAATTTTTATTCGTATTTTCAGGTATCCATTTATTTATTATTGAACAATTATTATTTATTTATTTATTTATTTGATATTTATTATTGTCTGTGGTGAATATTTGGTATGGTTGATATTTGATGTGCTATTGTGGAGAATGATGAAAGCAAATGTTTACATTTTTGAGTTCTTTTTTTTTTTTTTTTTTTCAGAGATATGGCCTGTTTTCCTGTCTATTCTCGTGTGCTTATAATTATGACCCACTTTTATTTTTAGCTTGTTTGAAGCTTTGAAATCTATTAAAATAGTAAAATAAAAAAATAACCCCCCAAAATGAGTTTTTTGATAATGTTTAATTTTATTTTGCCAAAAGTGATTGAAGAGTGATTTAAAGTCTCATTTGAATCAGAATAGGTAAAGTTGGCAATTGCAAGATCAGATTCATCATATTTGTTATTGTTTTTTGAATATCATGGGATTGTTTTTGTACACATTTAAATAACAAATAAAGTACAACTTTTGACCATGTTTCTTCACATAAGTATGGAAACAAAAGACAAAAATATTTTAAAATCTGTTCTTGCTCGAGCTGATTTTACATTTTCTGATTCCACTGAATCAGCCATCTCTTTACTTCTAGAAAAAAAGCTAAAATTTGTCTCTTTTTTAATTTTTCTCTCTTTTTCTTCTTTCCATCATTGTCTCCTATAGTTTAAGTTAGAGAGATATCAGTATTATTTGTTCTTTTATTTATTTTTTTATTTTTTATTTATATATTTTTTTCATCTTTACTCTGCCAACAGATCCCTGATAATGATGTTGAGATCGTCTTCGAGTGGGACCCAGCAAAGGTTATTGCTGAGCGTCAGAGTGTCGATGAATGGGTAGCTCGTAATGTCATAAGTATGTTTGACCAAGAAAACACCTTGCCATTTATCGCACGGTACAGGAAAGAGAGAACTGGGAATATGGAGGTTGAGAAACTTAGAGAGATTCAAAATGCATACTCACAGCTCAAGTAAGTAGTTTTATATCAATATTTTGTGTATTCATTCAATTCACTTCATATAGAATTACATAAGGAGGAGTTACATTACATTACAGTATATTTAGATTTGCAGTTTTACGAATCTGATAGAGAGGATCCCTGTTATTCATTGCCCCATTTGTCATTTCATTCTTTCATTACTAATGTTTTGTGGATGCATAGTAAATTGTATTTCACTCTTCTGTTGTTAGGGTTCTAAAAGTTTATACATATTTGTCCATAAACTGATATAAAAGCTGCAGTGTTAAATAAGATTAGAGATAAGATCAAATAAATTCCAGAATATGGATGAATGTACCAAAAACTGATGGTTTATACACACTGCTAACAAGAATGACAGTGTACTTGAACAGTTTATTCATACCTACTTTCCAGCCGCCCAAACAGGCTAATGGTGCAACACTATTGCACTCTCTGGGTCTGTTGAGTGTTGACGTTGATTTATTTCCCTGACTTATGAATGAATAATTACTGATGCAAAACCACCCAAATTGACATGTTGACACTAGATATGATGGAAATAATAAAAAACTATAAATGTCATATCGACCATGGAATGCAGGACAGTCCTACCCATCCACCTCAACCGCTCCTGATTTCTTCACAAGAAACCTAGTTAGAAATGAAAATAACTGAAGTAGAAGATGAGGATCCTCATTCGTCTATGAAAATGAGGGTTGGGCTAAGGAGTGTCTGTAGCCTGACCTTCATACCTGTCTTCTCTGCCACACACTGGCCCCACCCCCTATGAACCTAAGTGGTGTGGGTAATAATTACACCCTTTTCACAATATTGATTGTTTGCATTGCTTTTTTATATCAACTTTTCTCAGAAAAAATTGTTTAATCTTTTTATAATTTTTTAAAGATATACACACAAACTATATGCTTAACCAAAGCACTGGATATTATGGTCCTGATCCACATTACTTTCCTGTGAGATGTTATATATGACCTTTTGTCAAATTGTTATTTTTTATATTTTTTTGCTCCATATTTATATGAAAGGGGATACCCTGTATTGACACTTGCAAGGTTTCCAGCCATTTTTGGTTTAGTTTACTTAACACTTGTATAGATATCCAATATTCATACACAATATAGTAAACATAGCATTGAAGATCTTCAGATTTTAAATAACCATGAGACTTTTTTAGGCATGTACAAGAGCGAGTTTTAAAGATCCTGAAAGGAGATCGCAAGCGTCTACCAGAAGACCGTAAAGCCTCCCTGTTGAGGGCAACTACCATGCATGAAGTGGAGCATCTGGTATGAACCCTCGATAAGTGTATTGTTGTTTTATATTAATGAACTGAGTATTTTTATTTACCTTTTATATTTAGGTAATTTCACAGAAGACAGTATTTTTCTAATATTAGAAATTTTGAATGATAGAAGTCCAGATGCATCAACTTGATTATTTTTTCATACATAAGTATGCTTTTTCCATTTATTATATTTGACCACCCTAAGATTAAGGAAATTGACAGTATTCATAATCTCACAAGTACCATTAACTATTTATGATGATTTAGTAATTATTAGTTTCATCATACAGACAGCAGCCTACAAAGGGAGTGGGAAGCGCACATATGCAGAGAGAGCTCGAGAACTTGGTCTGGAGCCAGCTGCACTCGAGGTTATGCAGGGAACACATAATAAATTTGTAAGTACTTTCACTGTATTTTTATTGTAGACTATTGTGAAATTATTTATAAAGAATTAGATTTATATTACTTCAAAACTATTGAGATATTGATATTCTGTAGTGATTTGTATTAGGGTGAACTTTTTTCTTTGTTTTATTGTTACTGTTCATTGTGGTATTTTTCATTTCATTAATTTATATATTTTTTTGTTTTTCAAGTCAAATCGCCAGGAGTTGTATTCTCTTATGGATCTGAATAAAGAAGGTCTACGGACAATTGAGGAAGTTGAGCAGGGGCTCCAGCACATTATAGCAGATGTCATAAGTAAAGATCCCCAAGTCCTTGACTGTGTACGACAACTGTAAGTTTGACATGTCTTTTTCCGGTTAAGATACTGAGATTGCAAATTATTTTTATATTCCATTTCATCAAGAATACTGCATACCTCATCAACTAAATGTAAGCCACTTTGTCTTTCTTTTTCCAGCATGAAATTGTGTAAACCAGTTTTAGAATGCAATAAAGCACGCAAGCAGATGAAACGCGACCAGGGTAAAATGGTCAGTCGTGGACCAGGCCCCAGTGATGATCTTTGTGCCAAATATGAAAATTATTTTGAATATAAGAACCTGGCTTGGAACACAAAACCACATTCGGTAAGTTATCTACAAATATAGATGTTCCTTTCTTAACATTTTGTCTTTTATTTGTTTTACTTGCATTGAGAAATATTGTTACTGGTGTTAATAAAAATATCAGACTTTTTTGTGTTTTGCAACAGCAACAATATGTCTGAAGTCAAAAGTACTGAATTGTGATCATGCAAACTATTGCTATCATTATTTTCTCCCTTCAGATGCTGGCCATGAATCGTGGTGAACACCAGGGAGTTCTTTCCGTAAAGGTTGCCATACCGGACAATACATATGTCCATTTCTTCAACTACTGTCAGCAAAAATGGTTAGGGATGGCACCACCACACTACTACAGGACACAGCTGGTTATGATGAGCATTGAAGACAGCTGGGAGAGGCTTGGTGGGTTCCTTTGTGTAAATTTTTTTCTGAACCTGATTTCCCCTGAAAGATTTGTTTTTATAAGTCCATTAAATTTACTGTATATTTTCACAGTATTGCAATGCCAGTTTAGTGAATGCATTTTATTATAAAGTAGTCATAAATGTGCATGATTTCTTCTAATAACAAAGTGTTCATTAGTTATTGGGAATATTGAACATGATAAAATGAATAATGTTTACCGTTCAGGCAATATAAAAGTGGCAGATCTGTGTGTTTGCTGCCAACTTGCGGAAGCTTCTCCTAACCCCGTGAGAGTAAGAAGGGTTCATTTGCCATTTGGTTATTGGGAAGAGGTAGACTGTTAATTTTTTTTCCTATAGATTCCCCTTTTAGAGTTTCTTTTATCTTGGTGTTTGTGTTTTTTATCTTATATAGTTGCTTTGGGTTGATATTTTTTTTGGTAGATTTTCTGGCTTTTAGCTTCTATATGGCATTTTACAAAGCAAACAAAGGATAAGAAATGGATGTAAGATTGGTGTGACAAGCCCAACAGGAGAGAAACTCCTCACTACAACAATCTACCCTTTCCGTGGCAACCAGCACCTTCAAGTGGAGGACTGGTGCAAAGACCACAATGCCAGAACCCTTCGGGAGATTGTGCACAAATATAGGTAAGAAAATGAGGTACCGCTTCGTAGAGTTAAGTTTAAGGATAAATTGCTATTAGATTGTAAAACTTTTCTTGTTAAGTGATATTAAAAAGATATTTGAATACTACTATAGATAATAGTTTTGGTACTTTTCATAGATTCCTTTTACAGTATTCCTTTTTGAAAAATGGATGAGTTGCACTGTTTATATTGGTTTATTCACATCCATTTTCTTTTGATATACTTCTTAGGTGCGAGCTGTTTGCAATTGGTAATGGAACAGGATGCAGAGAGACAGAGACTTATCTCACACGCCTCATCGCTCAAAAGTGCTTTGATCCGTATAATGTCCAGTATACCATCATCAATGAAACAGGAGCATCACAGTATTCAGTCTCCCCAGAGGCACGAACTGAGTTTCCTGGCCTGGACCCCAATCATATCAGTGCCCGTATGTTGTGGTTTATTCTTTTATTTTTATTTCTCTCTCCTTATATCATTTCCTTTTCTTTTATCACTCTGTTCTTGTCTGTATTATTCTGTCATCTGCCATATTGTCTGGAATTATGAGTAATTAGAAGACAGTCCATAATATTTCATGTGGTGTTTATTTGTAAAAGGAAGTTGATGTTTGATTTTATTATTATTATTTTTTTTTTTACAGTGTCATTAGCCAGGAGATTACAAGACCCATTATTGGAGTACATCAAGGTGCATCCAATGCACATGGGAGTGGGCATGTACCAGCATGACATACCAGAACGCATCCTGCATGCTTCTCTAGATTCAGTCATGACAGAGTGTGTGTCATTTGTGGGCGTTGATATTAATTCAGCTTCAGAATTTGTTTTAAGGTTAGTGCCAGAAAATTTTATTGATGGTTGTGTATTTATTGATGTATTGGGTGTACTAATTTTTTATGTATGTTTTGCACCTCATGAAAGATTATGCAGGAATTTGATAGTTATCATTTATGCAGGGTTTAGATATTCTTTGTTTCTAGATGTTATAGGATGGACTTCTCAGATAATTATTAAAAGTAAATGTGTCAGTGCTTATTATTTAGGAGGATATTAGCATTCCGTGATAATTGATTAAATATTTACTCAAGTAGCATTGTTCCTTGGCTTCAGAGGAACGTGAAAAATTTGACTTACCATTTATTAGATATCATTTTCATCTCTTGTTCAGTTTGTACCACTTCAACATCAACATCAGAGTTATATCTTACAATACCTTTATTGCATATATTATTATGCATTTATACATATTTCCTTCTTGAAAAGAATTAAATTATTAATTTAAATAGAAGCATTCTTTCCATCTTAGATATGTGTGTCTGTGGGGGGGGAGGAGTGAGAGTGAGAGTAATAGTGTGTGAGAGTGTGCGTGAGAGTGTATGTGAGAGTGTGTGTGTGTGCGTGTGTGTGTGCGTGTGTGTGTGTGTGTGTGTGTGTGTGTGTGTGTGTGAATGTGTGAGAGTGAGATTATAGATATGGTCATATTTGTATTTGTGTCTCTCTTACCTAGTCTTTTCAAGACAGGAAGGAGAGCTGAACTTGGAGGACCTGCCTGCTATATTCAGATTATCAAATAACATTTTGAATTGTATATTTCTAGCACATAAAACATTGTTTGGAAAATTGTTCCATTTTACAACAATCTTATCTGTAAAACTAGAGATTCGTACATCCTTGTCACCATATTTTATTAACTTTTTACTATAACCTGTCATTCTTTTTTCGTAGGAAACACATATTCTACATTTTCTAACTTTTTCACTTCTGAGACGTAATGAAAAGACATAATCATGTCACCCTATTTTCGTATTTCCTCCAGTGTTGTAATTTTGAATTTCTTTTTGGTCTCTTCCTAGTTCTAGTCTATTGATAGTCTATTTGCTCATTTTTGAATAAGTAATATGAGGACATTGTACATTAATGTGCATGCACAGCTCCATTGTTCTGAATTGTTTTAAGATTTTTTTAGAATATTTAGATACATGTCTAGCAAGAACCAAACTAACCACAGGGTGAGAAACTTCATCAAGACCTGAAATCTTTAAAACCATAAATGTAAGAGACTGTTTTCTTACTAATCATATTGACACCAAAAAAAAAGCAGTGAGTAGTGCAAATAATAATGATAGAGTAAAGGATGAAAACAGTGAATCAGATGTATGTCAAAGCAGTATTTGATCAAAAGGAGAATCATAGAGTGACCTGCTCTTAGTGTGTTATTGTCCCTTTTAACCAGGCTTGCCACAACCTCCACTTCACAAGATCCTCCAGGAGCAGTGGAGTTGTGTGATTCAGAGTAATAATAATAAATTATGATGACCCTTGTTCTTTTCAGGTGCTATGAAACAAAACTCACACTTTTTTATACTCAAATACCATTGTTGATGTATTTATTAGTTTATCTTGAAAATGTGGATTTTCTGTTGCTTAGAAACAAAATTCGTCTGATTAATTTTGTTAGTCTTGTATATCTGTTAACGTTGTTTCATCAGCAAAAGTAAGCAAATGGGTGAGGGCATATACAGACATGTAAACACTGTTACTGAGAAGGAAAAAAAGAAAGAAGCAAAAGGTTTTCACAAAACTGAATACCACGAACTGTTACACCAATGTATATCCCGTTACTTATGATTATTGTTCTCCTAAAATATTTATAGTTTGCAATGAAGCCAAGAACAGCAGCTGGTATAGATTGCCGAGGGTGTTGATAAGTAAACTTATAACAACTGCATAATTCCCACAGGCATTTCAAAATTGTTTATTTTGCATATACATATATTCATTTCATGCCCAGAACACTTTCATTTTTCTCTTTTTCAGGAAACTCTCTGGACTGAACAAACCAAGAGCAGCTAATATTGTGGAGTACAGAAAGACAAAAGGGCCCTTTATAAACAGAGAACAGCTGAAGTCCGTGAAGGGTATTGGACCCAGGACATTTGAACAGTGTGCAGGTTTCATCAGGATCATGCCAGAAACACTGGAAATGGAAATTAACAAGTAATTAAACTATGTGTTTCTGTACACTTCTACTCAATATGCATGTCTTTTAAGATGATTAAAGGAAATATTGTTTAAAAAGAGAAGAAAGAAATAAATTATTTTAATCATTCTGCTCCTCTTGTATTCAGCAGAATAAGTATAAGGAGAATTTTACCAAGGACATATATAAAGATAAATGCGTGCCCTAAATCTCCATTTTCCACTAAACAGAACACCGCAGGGAAAGAAGCGAGCAGAAAAGGAAGCTGTGAGCCCGCTTGACCGTACGATGATCCATCCTGAGTCGTATGGGGCTGCTATGAAGTTCCTCAGTATTGTGGGTGTACGATCACAAGATATTGGTGCTGATCACTTCATCCGTACTGTAAGACATTTTATGCCAACTACAAGTAAGTTTTTAGTGCTCTGATGTTCTCTAATTGATGACTTGAATTTTCTTAATCAATAATCCATTTCTTTATATGAAGTCATTAAGTCTCTGTGACAGTGAATTGAGTGATTTTGCATATGAATACACCAATATATCATGTGATTAATTGATTGAAACACAAATTTTCAAGCATTTGAGTACACCTTTTTGATTGAGACTTCATTCTGACAACACAGCTTTAGATGCCTTGTCTGAGCAGTGTGAGACAACACTCCCAACTATGCAGCTCATTGTTGAGGGTCTGACACAGCCTCTCGACTATGATATTCGTGCCCAATTTGAGAAACCACTTTTCCGTAAGGGGATTACCTCCATAGATGATGTTGCTTTAGGAACTAAATTAACAGGTAAGATACTCAAAAGTGTGTATACCCATATGCACATGCACATGCACGCATTCACACACACATATCACACCCTCTCTCTCTCTCCTCTCTCTCCTCTCTCTCTCTCTCTCTCCTCTCTCGTCTTCTCCTCTCTCTCCTCTCTTTCTCTCTCTCCTCTTCTCTCTCTCTCTCTCTCTCTCTCTCTTCTCTCTCTTTTCTCTCTCTTCTCCTTCTCCTTCTCCTCTCTCTCTCTCTCTCGTTCTCTCTATCCTC